TTCTAGAAGCTGTACCTCATTATAACAGATTATTTAAACAATAAAAATAATTTTTGTTAAAATATAAATAATAATATGCTGAAACATTATATCTGATCGCTACATATTATAAAACCAAAGGTACCTTTTCATTTAACTAACTCACACATGGCTACTCCAAGTTTAAATATTATAAATCCGCTTGAATATAAAAAATAACAGGTATAGAAAATATTTTTTAAAAACCTAGTTTATTTAAAAATATAAAATGTCATGAGACCGTTTATTGTTTGTTTATATTGGCCTCCTGTTTTTGTTACTTTGACTTTTTGTATCGAGGACATATTATTATGTGATATAGAAGGGAATGTATTGCTAAACTATGGACGCTTTTCTACTCTTAATCAATTATTATTAGTAGAGTGTGAGTGTATGTATTAAAATATTCGCTCTAGAAAACGATTTACCCCCCTTTGTCACAAGGTGAATTTTTCAGAGATAAAAGGTCATGATAAGGTAACCCTTATTCCGGAGGTAACACAAAATTAGACTGTGCAGAAGGGCACTATCATCAAAAATCCAGATACTGATACCGCCGAATAAAAAAAATATTTATTTTTTGGTCCAATGCACAATAAAATCTTTGTAAGGAGTAATTTTTTATACTTATTTAAAAAAAAATTCAGCCCTTCAAAAATTTGTTTAAAAAGTCATTTTTTTAAATATAATTTTATCATTTAACAAAAAGGAAGGCCCTAATGAAAAACGTAGTATACCTCTGTTTCTCTCTACGTGTCGGCTGATGCATCACATTATTGATATGCTCAAATTTTTTTCATTTTTTTATTATAAAACTTTTCGTTAGGTGCCAATGGACAAAGTGTCATATTGTCTGTTTTTACTAAAAAATTAATAAGTGTGTTACATATTAAAGTTCCTAATAAATTGGGAAGAAATATAGACATTGTTTAGGTTTTTATTACATCTACATTCATCCTGTTATAGCTGAATGCCTGAATATATTTGGGTAAGTTGGGTAAGTTTTCGTTAAACATTTTAATTATGGATTTATTGTTGCAAGAAGCAAAGACACAAATGATATCAAAATATGACTTCTTAATCCTTGCATGGTCAACAGTTTCTTCATAATATTTTATTAGCAAAGGATATGGACAGAAGCATTAGGTAATTATGCCGAAATATTTAAGTTTGATCTGACAGCCTCTCACATGTCTCTAACAGTAAATGGGTATCTCGGCACCTCTACAAATAAGAGTTTATTGGGAAATATTTTAGATCAATATGACCCACAAAGACTTACCTGCACCTAGGTGATCTTGCAAAACTTGTCACATTTTTGATGAGATAGCAATAGCTCAAGGTTTGGGAAAGTCCAAAAGTTGCATATCATTTAAAGAATATGCTAATATATTTGTAAAGATTATTTTCAAAAATAAATTTAATGCTCAAAGGATAGATGTGGTATTTAATCATTATAAAGAAAATTCTATCAAAAATACACGTCAAAAGAGATGATCCCAGAAATCAATTGATATAGAAATTGACCGACCCAATATTCCACTTCCAGAATAATGAAACTTGTTCATTCATTCGATATTTAATAAAAGACGTTTAACACATTTTCTGTCAGAGCAACTTCTTGAAAATTTGTATCTAGTGATGGATTCGCGAGTATCAATAAATATGGGATGAATTTTGAACCATCAAAAGACGATTTCTTAAATTTAAATCTTGAAGAAGCTGATACTCGTATCTTATTGCACATATTATCCCCCAGAAATTCGGGGAATTCACGCTGCATTATTGATTGCAACGATACAGATGTTCTAGTCTTATTAATTTATTTTAAGTAGTTTTGAACTAAAAAGATATGGTTCATAATAGGGCGAGGAGGATAAAAAAACTTCTAAAAAATTTCTCTTTTTTTCATTCTGTGAAAGGTCTTAATAAATCCAACCAATTGTCTGGCATTGGAAAAAGAACCTGTTGGAAAACCTACCTTGAACACCATTACCTTTTGGATAGATTTGGCACTGATTAGTAGGTACTCTGAAAACACATTCTCTAATCTTGAAAATTTTTTCATAAAACTGTATTCAAAAACTGCCAATGTTACTTCCATTAACATTTTGAGGAGATTAATGGCCCCTTTAAAATAATTGCTAAATTGCCATTGACTGAAGACGCCCTAAGATTACATTGTTTAAGATGTTTTTACCAGCTAAGTATTTGGCTAAGCTCTTTAAAGACCCAGATGCAGCTTCCTAATGTTGAAGAGTATGAATGGAAAGTAGATCAAGATTGAAGCCTGATACCCACTTAAGATTATGCTGGACCTGCTACCAGAAATAACAGAACTTATCATGCAAATGCAAAAAAGGTACTATACACCGATAATTTTCATGTATGTACAATATTTTAACAATATTATTCTATTCTAGACTATGGAAGCAAAATTTGCAAATGCAGAAAAAAATATTGGCTACATCGGTTAATGCACCTGTATGGCACAGAAAAACTGCATAAATAGTTTGATCATAGCCGCTAATGTTTTGGAAAATGTAGATTAATGTGGTGAATCTGATTTTGATTAGTTTGAGTCCTGTACTTATATATTTTAATATTATTAATTTATGCTTTATATACTTCTAATTATTGAATTTTTTTATTAAGAATTTATTGTATTCTGCAAAGCAATAGCCTTACTGTTTATAACCTATACTTATATATACTGTGCTTATACCTTCCATAAATAGTTTATATTTTATTTTTTTATTTTCCTCAAAATAAATCATGAAGTAATACACCATATAAAACATTATTCGCCATCATAGCGGATAAATCAATAATACCTATATAAAATAATGTAAGAGAGTCAAACAGATTGCATACATTTCATCCCTGAGAGAGACGCATACAGTCAAGAGACTGCTTCCTTTCCTGTAAAACCATGACATCAGTAATTGTTTATTGCTATATTTTTGTTAATTTCATAGCAAAAAATATAAGGAATGCACTATTACCTTGTCAATACACAGCCGAAACTTTTATGAAGAATATTTTTTTTTTTTTCGTTTAGGCCTTCGTTTTTCGTCAAATGAAAGGTATATTTCTAAAAGAAGATTTTTTGACCAAATTTGTCGACAGCAAAAATAAGTTTTAATCTACACCATACTTATATTGTAAAATACATAGGTAATATTATATTGTGCTATTGTGGAATATTTTTCGGTTCCTTTGTCTTCAACTTCGCGCGTTAAAGTTTAGAATATGCATCCCTCGTATCTACATGCAATTGTTAAAATTATGAATGAATGCTGATTTTGTTTTGTCTCGGAAGTAATTTTGTAGTATTTAGGCTCCGCCCTTAAGTTGTAATTTTTATACCTACTAAACTACCGTTGCCCCGCAGGTCTTTTAGTATGTAATGTAAATTTTCCTCTTAACCCCCATTTTAATCAGTTTTTTCCGAATCAACAGGCTTCATCCCCTTATTGAGCTTGATTTTTTCCAAAAATTTCAAGTTGATATTATTGTTCGCTTTTGAGTTAGAACTTTTTTTTCAATATTTCAACCTTCCTTAACCCCCCCCCACTTTTATTCAATTTTTTTTTTCACAATCAATATCCCTCATCTCCTTATAGAGCTTGATTATTACTAAAAATTTCATGTTGATTTCGTTTTTCATTTTTGATTTATGTTTTTTTTTTTTAATTTCAACCCCCCCTCAAACCCCCATTTTTAATCAGATTTTTTTCAAAATAAATAGGCTTTGTCCGGGTGTTCAAATTAAAGTGTTACAGCTAAATACCGCTTTTATAAAAAAAAACGTTTCAGACGAAAGTTTTATAGTGTCGTGGGGAAAATTTTTTGGCTAAAATCGTTTTTTATAGCTATCCATAATATCTTTTTTGCCTAGCAAAATTTTCAAGTAGCTGTTACTCAAAAAGTAAAAGTTCAATAAAAAAAATATTTCCATCAAAAGTTTCTTATTTTTTTATGTACTTTAAGAATATGTAGAAAAAAAATGATATTCCCATTAAAAAAAAAACAAAGTTCACCTCGATATGGCCATATTATGGTCAGCTATAAAAAAATTAATTTAGCCAAAATGTTTCCCCAAAAAAACTATAAAAATTTGGTCTAAAACTTTTTTTTCTAAAATGCATATTTTCGGCGGTATTTAACTGTAAAACTTTAATTTGAACACCCGGTAGAGCTTGTTTTTGCTTAAAATTTTCAAGTTGATATCATTTTTCGCTTTTGACTTATCGTGCAGACAAAAAACGTGACATCGGACAAAGTAAATCTATAATACTCTTCACAGATCATTGTGTGTAGAGTATAATAACAATTAACTTTAGGCCAAGCAGCTTGCAAGGTAGCAGTTGTATCATACACAATATACCCCATAATCAGGTGTAACATCATGTGTAATGTCATAGTCGGTTGTAATTGTTAAACTCTGATAAAATGACAATATGTCATTTAATTAAAATTGCCTACATTAAGTTTTCATAATTTAGGTTTATTAGTTTACATATTATTTTAATTTTAAAGTGTTTATATGGTTTTTTATTTTTTATTCAGTTCAGTATTTGTAAAAATATTCTAAATGCTAGGTTTTTCGAATCTTGGTGTAACAGATACTCTTCTTTTAATTATCGTGTCATACTTATGAAAAATCTTTATTTTAATTTTATTTTGCTCAGTAAATATACGAGTGCCTATTCTAGATAATAAAATAGAATTAAATTAATTTTTACTACATTTTTTAGACACTTATTGCCCGCTGGGACAGATTATTGACCTCTATAGAAAATATGCAAAAATTTATTATTGATTAATAAATGAAATATATTTACTTATTTGACAATTTTGATAACACATAATTCTATATCAGATTCGTATGGTAACATCAAATAATCATTTCCTATTTATTTCAGTAAAATCTTGGGATCCAAAAATAATCCTAATATAATACAACCTTTTTTTTACAGCCGATTACATAGACACAGAAGACGTAGCAAATGTCCTCAGCAACAGATCCAACAGCGTCAGGCCGCCAACCTGAGGGAACGAAAAAGGATGCAGTCCATCAACGACGCCTTCGAAGGACTAAGAGCGCACATCCCTACGCTGCCGTACGAGAAGCGCTTGTCCAAAGTTGACACGTTGAAGCTGGCAATAGGATACATTAATTTTTTAGGTGAATTAGTGAGGACTGATAAAAATTCGAATACGGAATATTTCAATGGACACAACAGAAATTTGAGGCAGGATGAACCTAAGAAAATTATTATTCGAGGTAAATTATCCATATTTATTTAAGTTTATAGGGTAAACTTTGACTTAAGTTTTCTCTCAGAGTCACGTCCACTCTTGAATTGTGTCCTGTTATCTCTGATGGTGTCCATGCTGTTTATGCTGAAAACAGCCAGTCGTTCTGTATTAGTCGTTTCTCACAAAATACTATTATTATTAATTATTATTTCATATTATTATAATAGATTATTCATACAATCTATTTGCACTATTATAGCAGTGGTGGCTTATGGTTAAAGACAATGGGTGTTCTGCAAGAAATCGAATCACATTACATATGCGTCAGACTATAAACAAAGCTTGCCGATCTGGCAAAAATGCAACTCAAACACTAGGTGTCTCGGCGTCCCAAAACAACCCAACTAAGAGATGAATATGACCTGGCGAGCTTTCATTAAATCTTCCACTGGTCCCCTCTGGACTTATTATTAGCTATGAACTGTCAATGGGATACGTACGCGTACTATGAGATTATCCATTTACAGTGTTCTAACCACATACTTTGAATACTATTCGGTGCAAGAGAGAGGTCCGACACGCCCAACATAGGGCACGGCCATTTTGATTCCTATGCCACAGTTTAAGATCGCTCGATCTGCGTCGGCATTTTTGATCTCAATGTTCCAGTTTATACACTGCGCATCTCGGATAATACAATATATGACAACCGCCTATAATAAAACAGCAGTCTTCTGCGTATCCTGAATTTGTCTGAACTGGTCCGAGTGAGCTAACTGATTCTTTAGCAATAAACTGTGACTCCAAAAATAATATTCACTGACACTGACAGCAGCAAGCAAAATATCAGGTGCGTTTTAATCATCCGTTTCTGCTTCCGGAACTGTCGGTTTAGTCGTTTTAACCTGTCAGATTAAAACAAGAAAACCGACAATTCCGAAGCAGAAGCGGATGATTAAAACGCACCTATTAAAAATATTGCGCTAAGATGTAGGCAACACGTAATAAGGGATCAAAATGGCGGAGTTTTCTATCTCCTTTTAAAAGGCACTCAGAAAGCTGCGCAGTGCGACCATTCTCCGTATAGTAAAAGAAAATCAAAGTATGTGGTTCTAACCCACATACTTTGATTACTATACGGTGCAAGAGAGAGGTCCGAAACGCCCAACGTAGGGCGCGGCCATTTTGATTCCTATGCCACAGTTTATAGCTAAAGAATCAGATCGCTCTCTCTGCGTCGGCCTTTTATTTGATCTCAATGTTCCAGTTTATACACTGCGCAACTCGGATAATACAATATATGACAACCGCCTATAATAAAACAGCAGTCTTCTGCGCATCCTGAATTTGTATCCCTGGAGTGGATGTTATTTTGGAACTTTCAACTGGTCCGAGTGAGCTAATTGATTCTTTAGCAATAAACTGTGACTACAAAAATAATATTCACTGACACTGACAGCAGCAAGCAAAATATCAGGTGCGTTTTAATCATCCGTTTCTGCTTCCGGAATTGTTGGTTTAGTCGTTTTAACCTGTCAGATTAAAACAAGAAAACCGACAATTCCGAAGCAGAAGCGGATGATTAAAACGCACCTATTAAAAATATTGCGCCAAGATGTAGGCAACACGTAATAAGGGATCAAAATGGCGGAGTTTTCTATCTCCTTTTAAAAGGCACTCAGAAAGCTGCGCAGTGCGACCATTCTCCGTATAGTAAAAGAAAATCAAAGTATGTGGTTCTAACCCACATACTTTGATTACTATACAGTGCAAGAGAGAGGTCCGAAACGCCCAACGTAGGGCGCGGCCGTTTTGATTCCTATGCCACAGTTTATAGCTAAAGAATCAGATCGCTCTCTCTGCGTCGGCCCTTTATTTGATCTCAATGTTCCAGTTTATACACTGTGCAACTCGGATAATACAATATATGACAACCTCCTATAATAAAACAGCAGTCTTCTGCGTATCCTGAATGTGTATCCCTGGAGTGGATGTTATTTTGGAACTTTCAACTGGTCCGAGTGAGCTAACTGATTCTTTAGCAATAAACTGTGACTTCAAAAATAATATTCACTGACACTGACAGCAGCAAGCAAAATATCAGGTGCGTTTTAATCATCCGCTTCTGCTTCCGGAATTGTCGGTTTAGTCGTTTTAACCTGTCAGATTAAAACAAGAAAACCGACAATTCCGAAGCAGAAGCAGATGATTAAAACGCACCTATTAAAAATATTGCGCCAAGATGTAGGCAACACGTAATAAGGGTTCAAAATGGCGGAGTTTTCTATCTCCTTTTAAAAGGCACTCAGAAAGCTGCGCAGTGCGACCATTCTCCGTATAGTAAAAGAAAATCAAAGTATGTGATGTGCTCACATACAAAATTGACTACGCTGTCATTAGACATGCCAAAACTACAGTCAATTTCGCGAACTTTATAAAAAGAAGGATGGAAATTTAAAATTTGACCATTGCCGATTCGCCTCCTTCTCTCTAGTCTTCATACATATGATTCAGAATTAAAATGGATATGAATACCTAAAAGATATATACGCCCGCATTTCGCCATCAAAAATATTCATTCAACCCCTAATCCATCAATCTTTTCGGCAATCCAAAAAACAACCCATTCTATATCCTGTCTATCGAACAAAATTTCCATCTTTTGAAAATAAATAGACATCTGTTTGTACGTATTGCATAACGAATCGCATTTGAGGGTTCATTTACGATCATTATCTGACGTCGATAATCAAAATTGTTAAACCACCATCGAAAGAGACCCGAGAGCGCCCTATGACCCACGTGTAATCAATTTCAAATACACCGGCGATTGTTCTTCGATGTCACGGTGTGTTGTGATATTTCGTGGCGATAAGCGCACCCCTCTAGGGACCGCAGGGGGTGTTGGTGCAATAAGCGAGTACAAGAGTGGGAGATTGTGACATTTATGATGATTTTGCTTTTTTTATTTTGTGTTTCGAGTGTCCAGTTCGTGAGAAGTTTGTTAATGACTAGCTTTTTGTACGCTGATAACCTTATTTACCTAATTATAAAATAGGGTGTTTCATGGCGAATTGTCCATACGTTAACTGCAGACCGTTAGCAATAATTCTAAAAACGTATTTTTATTGGGCCTAACTTTTCGTGATTGATGTACAAAGTATTTTATTAATTTTGCTTATTTCTTTCTTGATACATAATTTATATACCAACTAATAGAATTGGCTATTTAAAAAAAATCCAGGTCCGGATTAGGAAAACTCAAAAGAACATAAACGATTTTTAAATGGATACTTGAGTAAGAATAAAATTGGCAAGTCATTAAGTACTGTCAAAGTAATAAAATTACAAGTAAAATTGTATTAATTAAAGTGCATTAAATTTAGTTTTTCTACTTTTAACATATAATAAAGTAACATTTTTTCTAATCGTAGCAAGTGTGTAATAAAATGGCGTTAAATTTTTAATCCGTTAATTAGTTATAATTAACGTTTAATTATCTTTTGTAAATCACTTTTATGTAATTTTTGATCAGCTCTTAAATATTTTACACCAACCAATTACTTACCTTTACTCAAATCGGAAAATCAAATGAGCACATAAGACTATGGTTTCTCAGTCGTGAATTCAGGCTTTTCTAATAGACACTTTTGGGGAAATAGTTTTCAGGAAAGAAGGGCGCCATTAATTCTCTTCTATTTTTTAAGAAGCTAGTTCAGAATTATCAAAAAGACAAATAATTCAAAATTATATATAATTTAAGTAAAAAGAGAATTGTTGTAACCTTTAAAAATAAGATTCAACAAGAATATAAATAAATTCGTTTATTTTTAAATTGTGAAAATGCAATTGTTCTTTGAATAAATATACCAAAGTTTACATGAAAATAAAGCGCTTTCATATGCTGGCACCAACACAATATTATACTCTGACTATCATACGATAATTTTAAGATTTGGCCTCGCGAATTATTTTGCGACAATTATTAGTTACACTGAACCTGATTCATCTTCTGCGGCATTATTTCTGGAAGATTTCTTTGACTCAACGAACCACCTCTGCTTCCAAAGTATAGTAGATGGATATCCGTCTTACGGTAAAAATTGTTATTCTGTTTTTTACGAGGCCCTTATATGAGATATAAATCAAACTTTTAAACAACTATTTTTAAAAATTTCCAACAATAAAAAATAATATTAACAATATGTAATTCCAGTAACACAAAAGGATTTACTAAACCATATTGAATAAATCTAAATTGACTTTCAAAAATTAAACTTATAACTAACAAAAAGTAGCAATATAAATTCTACTTAGATTTTTTTTAATGACTTAATTACCCACCGTTAATTGTACTTCTTGTTTCAACGATGAGATCTTAAATGAATAATCTAGAAAAGATTTGACATCGACTGACCAAATAAATCTCCCACTTCGCGAAATTTCCCTTTCTCATGAATATTGCGTGCTGCAAAAATAAAACTTTAAATCATTTTAATACCAATTTTATACAGGATGTCACACATTCAAAATAACATAAAATAACATTTTTAAAAGGAATTTTAAAAATTTTCTACACTCACATGAATCTATTCCAGACAGACCACAGGACGAATAAGTGACCATTGCGTTCCACTGAACGGATATAATTTTATATCCATTCCAATCACGGATATAATATCCACCACAGTTCATATTTGATGACTGGCATACTATTTTTTTGTTTTCATTTTAAATAAGTAACAATTCTGTCAAACTAATTGTCTGTATATTTTTTAGTTATTGAAATTATAATTTAAAATGAGTGATTCTTATAAAGAATCGATAAATAATATAATTTCACAAGATATTTGTCTATATAATTCGTAAATATTAATGGAAGTATCTGAAAACAATCTAATTATCAATATTAAAAAAAATTACACAGAGATAGAGCACTTAATTTCTATGCGAAAGGCCCGAGTTCAAAAAGAGGATGACGATTAATTGAATCGGTGAGTGAAAGAACAGTATATATCCAAAATGGCCATTTTGAGAAAAACAAAAAAAAACTGTTTTAAAGGAAAACTATGGGTTATTCGGCCTTATTATGTATTGTGAAGGTATCGAATTTTTGTTAACCGATAATAATATGTAGATAAATTTAAAAAGAAAATTATGCCAAAAATTATATTTGAAAAAAATGACTTGCAGTTATACTGTTCTTTCACTCAATTTAAGAAAAAATACTATAAATAATTTTTTTATAGCTTTATTGATTATTATTTAACAAACTTATTTGTAATTTTTCTTCAAAATCTTCATTTCTGACTTTCCAAGAAATAATATGTTAGTGAAACTCTAGGATTTCTTTACTAAAGTAAGATGAAAGTGTCCTTAAATTGGCTATCTTCTTTACGTTAATAGGGGCAACTTCTAAGTATGCCTTTTCTAATGGCGGGCATACACGCAACGGTCTACCGGAGAGGTTTACCTATGCAGGGTGCCTGCACAGGTTCACCGTACGATGTCACTAAAACGAATTGATTTTCGATTTTGCTCCGGTCGCCTGTGCAGGTTCAAAACACTGCACAGGTCGATTCCAAGACACGCTCCGGTCTACATGTGCAGGCACACCTGCACAGGCAGACCTAGTATGTATGATTTGTGGGCAGACCTCTCCGGTAGATCGTAGCGTGTACGCCCACCATAAGGGTAACTGCGGGTTGGCATTAGGTTTGATCAGTTTAAAAGTGTGCGAGAGAAAACCACCTATAAAGGCACTTGTAGTGACATACCCAGGAGTTTCACTAGTGTATGTAAACTGGCTGTACTGCGAAATGACAAATTTAGCTTTTTGTTCATCAACTGATTTGGTCGTTTTTCTATGAAATTGTTACCACCAGTTTTTAAAATCTGTCAAATTTGTCTACGAAACGACATGGCGACTGAGCAAAAAAAAGAGTACATGCGCCGCACGTGTACTGTTCTTTCACTCAGTCGGTGTATTATTCTTTCGCTATGTGATAGGCCTATGAATTTTAAACAATTTGCCTATCTTGGTTAAAATTGCCATTTTTGGCACTTGTATTGTTCTTTCACTCACTGATTCAATTAAAATCTCGATTTAAGTTTATTTTACTTTATATATTGGTAAAGTCTAAAATTAATATTAATAGTAGTTTGTTTGACAATACTGGATATGATGGCCATATAGCATGAGAAAACGAAGTTTCGTCTATTATTTTATTTATCTATTTGTTGTATTTTCAAATTGATTTTGATATTAATCTTATCTATTTCTATTTTTTTATATTCACATATATGTTATTTCATTGAAACAAACGTTTATTAGCTTATTAATTATAATGAATTCATGTTGTTTTATTATATGAATATATGAATGATTACTTTTATTTACTTTTGAAAATGAATTTCGAAGATAAAGCCGAAACGGTGAGTGAGAATAAAAAATTAGACGACAGTGACGATATTTACTGGAGCTTTCTTCTACACGCTACTTTTTCTATCCATCTACACCTGAGCCGGCAAGATTCGTCTTCCCTTCATCTTTACATTCTCCAGATTTACAGAGAAAATGCCGTCCTCTTTTTTTTGACGGGGACTATACCACTACTTTACATTATCAGTCTAATTTGTTATCCCGAGCAATTTAAATTGCTCATTCTCACCTCTTTTCTTGTAGATTCCATACCCATTTTTCTTATTTTTAGTTACGTTTACTCTCGTCTTTTATTTTCACATCTTTAATTCTACAATGCTGTAAAGCTACAATATGGATCCATTTTTGTAGTTTATACTATTTAATTTTAATGGTAAGTGACCAACCTATTATAATAATTGAGAAATATTGTATTACAGGCCTGAAGAGTCCCTGTGAGGCCGAAATTAGTCGCTCCTGTATTTATTTATAATAAAATTGATTTTGAAGTTTTATTTTTTAATTGAAAAAATTAGACCTTTACAGTGATTGTTTCATTTCCTGCATCAAATACATATAAGACGGTATACATTTTAAAAATAGTAAAATTAGCAAATTTTTTTGTTTTTTTTTTTTTAGAATTAAAAAGTTTGAACAATGTGTGTTCTTACAGAGAAATGATATACCACTGAACAAGAAGGATGTTTACCTTCCCCCTTGTGCCCACTTCCTCACTTCCTCTACAGATGTTGCGAACACAACAGTCGCCTACAAACTCGTTACACGCTTCCTCTAGTAGTAATTGCTCGGAGGTCAGTGGCCTATCGTTTCAAACGGGCAGCCATTTTGTTTGGAATGCCCACATACTTTGATTTTCTCTTACTATACGGAGAATGGTCGCACTGCGCAGCTTTCTGAGTGCCTTTTAAAAGGAGAGAAAACTCCGCCATTTTAATGCCTTATTACGTGTTACCTACATCTTGGTGCAATATTTTATTATATAAAACGACTAAACCGACAATTCCGGAAGCAGAAACAGATGAATAAAACGCAGCTGATATTTTGCTTGCTGCTGTCAGTATCAGTGAATATTATTTTTGCAGTCACAGTTTATTGCTAAAGAATCAATTAGCTCACTCGGACCAGTTTTGAAAGTTCCAAAATAACATCCACTCCAGGGATACAAATTCAGGATGCGCAGAAGACTGCTGTTTTATTATAGGCGGTTGTCATATATTGTATTATCCGCGTTGCGCAGTGTATAAACTGGAACATTGAGATCAAAAGTGCCGACGCAGAGTGAGCGAACTGATTCTTTAGCTATAAACTGTGGTAAAGGCATCAAAATGGCTGCGCCCTATGTTGAGCACGTCGGACCTCTCTCTCTTGCACCGTATAGTAATCAAAGTATGTGGGAATGCCATTTTCAGGTAACCGTTTCCCTAATTTAACCGATTTTTCAAGCAAAGCGGTTAGTTTTGAACCGAGTAACCGATATTTCGGTTAATAACGGCCGTGTAATCTATTTTTGGATGGTCCCTTAACCCGAGACGATTTCTGGGAAACCAAAACATCATAAACCCAGCGGTCGTGAAAAGGGTCGTGCAGTGAGTGTAGAGACAACTCAGCGTCAGTGGGAGAAATATTTGGATGGGCAGATTATCGAACACCGTTGAGGAATGCAGTCGATTTCTTTTGTTAAGACTGTGTTATTCCATTTGTTTTAATAATTATTATTTTTGTAACATTATTTTAATATTAATAAACTTCATACGTAAAATAAACATTTAATTATTTGTGTAGTTTACAGACGATACCCTTAAACAAACTTAGCATATCCTTCAATGGGTTAAAACCATAGATATGTTAAAACATAGGTTAAAACAATGTCTGGGACGATCAGGACACCTTGAAATATGCCGAACTGTTTCCAGTTTACTTGCTTTTATGAATAGTGCCTTGTTTGGTTATTATATAACATCCATGCTCTTTTGCATACAGTTTAAAATATATATTTTTTTGAATATTTCAATGTTATTTTATGTATTTAAAAAAATATTTTTTATTTCCAGGTGGAGGTGGACTCTACACAGCCCATTCGTTATCCTGGTCAAGAGTGAAAGAACCTAATCCGAATGGTACGATGCACGCCAAAATTTGGATGCCCGAAGATCCTAGAGCCAACAAAGATAGCGCTAATACCTCTTCTTCGTCGTTTAATTTAACAACAGATTAGAAAACGCCACTTTGTCATAAATTGACTAGGAACTACACAGGGTGGCAACTTTTTAAATGAAATATATTGTTATATCGTAATATATATTATATCAAAGCTGGTTAAATGGGGAGAAAGTTATATAGGTATTTGAAAACCAAAATATCAGGGCCAGTTTCAGAGATATTTGATAAAAACAAATTGGTTCAATTTTTTATTCCACTGCAGTAACTTTATTTTCAAAAATAGACAAAAACTCATTTATGGTTTTTACGTGTCACATTAAGTTGTGCATATGACAGCGTACTTAATTTTTATCCGACGCGCGACGTTTCATAAATGCAAGAGCACCACCCCATACAGCACAAACACATTTCGGAAATATTTCAACAATGTTACATTGAAACATTTGCAATGTTGTATAAATATTACGAAACATTTCTGAAATATGCCTGAAACGTAAAAATGTCCTTTAAATATAAAATTTCAATTATACTTTTTTAAATAATATCTTTGTCCATTCAGAAGATAAGATTTGACCCAGTGTTATTTAACAAAATATTAATATGCTTAGAATATTAACCATTCCTTATGAAACACCCTGTATATGCTTAATTTTCATATATCTTACTTCCATATCTTGTACAAATTAATAATAAAAAAATAATTAATTTTTTTAAATAGAAATATTTCACAAATTTTCTCAAATCAAAGCTCGGAGATGCTACTTTTACATCTTAAACTGTTGCCAAGTCGCAAAAAAGTTTACAATTACAATTATTGTATCAAAAGTACAGCAATTCATTTGTATTAAATTTCTTGCCCCAAGAATATTTTATAATATTATAACGAAACGTCGGTCGAATAAAAAATTAAATATGTCGTCATATGCAAAACTTGATATAAACCAAAAATTTTAAATGAATTTTTGTCTATATCTCCTAAACATTTCATTTAAAAAGTGGCCACCCTGTAGAGTGGTGACAAACTGTTGAAAAAGATTACCCTACTAAGAATATGTGGTAAATTCGTCCAATTTTATAACATTTTAATCTAGTCATTATATTTTTAATCTAGTCATACCTACTTAATACTCAAAATGTACAGGGCTGTCCAAGTGCAAGATAAGGACACGTTTTACCTTCTTTATTTTATGTAATATTTGTAGGGTTGCCAACATTACGGCTATGATGACCTGCTGAAAAATTAAATTTGACAAGGAATGGTGAGGAAATCTGTTTGGATCCGATAACTGAAAAAGTGAAAATATTTCCCTTTTACCCCTATGAAACTAAGATATGTATACCCATATGTATACCCATATCCACAAAGTGAAAAGAAACCAAAGAAAAACTGATAAAGCGCGCTTAAAATTTCCAAAACTTTACACCGGCAAACGAATGAAATATCTTATTAGAATTTATTCTAGTACAATCTGAGCTTGGCACCATTCTATACGATGTTGCAAGGGTGGCTTTAAGGAAAATTGAAAGAGCTGGGAGGTGAAGATGACTTCAAATCTATAAATTTGACTGTCGTAATTATGTGTCTCAGTGGTCCAATTGGTAAAAGCGCCGACGGCTCAAGACGGAAGTTTCAAAAGGTTTGATTCCTGACCGATGCATTGCACTCATTTCTTAGTTTCTTAGGGGAATCGGGGATTATAATTTCATTGTTTCCAAAAAATTGCTAAAATAAGTTTGTTGGAGAAAACACAAAAAATGTATTTTTTTTGTTTTTTTTTTTTGTTATTTATATTCTACAAATCCACTTGTGATTTTAAAATTGTGAAATTACGTTTATTTCCAGATGGAAAATTAAATGTAAACCCGGAGTCCGGAGAGGGATCGCCAAACCAGGCTTCTCCGAGTCAAAATGGCGGTATTGGCAACCCTAAATATGTGTCTTTTAATCTTGATGTAATTCAATGTTATAAACATACAATATGGTAGGTACTTAAAATAAAGGTAAAATGATTTCTAGGACTACGCTAAATCAAAGTTGTATATACTTACTTTATTATGTTTTTTTGTTTTTTAAATTTTAAAATAATAAATTTATCGATATAATTATTGTATTATTTCCCTATTCACTTCATATTACTCAAAATTACTCAAGTACCTACAGTATCGTACAAAGATAATTTTTCTTTCACAATTACATATCTGTATTATTTATATATCTATACAGGGTGTTTCCGAACTTGGCGTCCAAATTTGTAGGGGTGGTAGTTTGCATAATTTGAGAGCGATTGGCAGATTTCGTTTTTCTAAAAAAATTATAATAAACAAAATAGAGCCATTATAAAAAAAAATCAAAGAGCAGGTCCTACCCTGAGCGCGTAGCGCAATAGTCCTCAAAAACAGATGCGATTTGCAATTTTGTCGATTCTAAGCGTAGCGCGCGCGAGTCGAGGCAATCGCATCGCTGTGCAGGACCGTACCTGTTCATAATTTTTAATTATTTTTATTTTAAATATTTTGGAAAAATGAAATCTGCGAATCGGTCTCAAATTATGCGAACTACCACCCCTACAAATTTGGACGCCAAGTTCGGAAACACCCTGTATATACAGGGTGTTTCGCGAAAAAAGGGAAATAGTTTAAGGCATGTTCAGAAAGTCGAAATAAGTAAAAAAAATCTAAAATAAACATATGTCCCAAAATACGTCTCCTTTCCGAGTTACAGGATGCAAATAAATTGAAAAAAAAATCATTTTTCTTAAATTGTTTGAAAATGATGAGAGATAAGAAATGATCAGAGAGAGTTTTTAACGGAGAAAGGTGCAGAATCAGTCTACATCGACACTTCAAACAAATTGGACGTCCTAATGTCGTACTGCGAAATAATTTTAGCACATATTTAGTCTGATGTAGTTTTTATTTGTGCTCGCAGGGCCGCCGAGAGCCAGGCCGGGCCCCAGGACAATTCTCTAGATCGGGCCCCGTGGCAAAAAAAGCTCCTCAAATAATAACTTTTTCTCCTCTACTTAAATTGAGTTACCTCCCCAACCAAAAACTTCCCCTCTTGTCTTCTGTCGAATTTCTCATACAAAACAAAAAACCGGTTGCCGGGCCCCCATTTGAGTCCGGGCCCCGGGAATTGGTCCCAGCTACCCCCCCCCCCCCCTCTAGTCGGCCCTATGTGCTCGTAATCGGCTACCTTTAAATAATATTGACAAATGCAAATATTTAACTTTTAGTATAAAACTTTCTAATAACAATGTCCACTAAAGAAAGTCACTGAAACAAAAGATCTGGGCATATATTTTGACTAACAATTAAATTTCATTCTTTAGGTTCTTTCGTTCGTCCCACTGATGTAGGAATGAGCTACACCAATAGACACTAAACCATTCGTTTGACCCGGTGTAAAATCCACTACACCTTTCTGTCGGCGATGTGGTGTCCACTGGTGGATATTTTCTCCACCAGCTATTTATTCCAAAAATTTGCGGAAGTTTTAATATTTGGCGAATTTATGTATTTTTAACTACTCTTCGATTTTTTATTTTGCCACCTCGTAACTTTGCCGCCGTCACCGCCATATTGTAATAAATTGTAAAAAAATATATTTTTTTAAGATATCTTGTTACTATATAGTTGCTTTTACAGCAAAAATGACTCAAGTACTTATTGACATAATAAGTTCTTTCATTCCAGGAAAGGCGAATGTTGGGAAAACCAATCCATTAATTTGTTTACGTCATTGTTATCACGATTAATCCGGGAACTTCTTTTTCAAAATGCTGTTCCAAAGTGCTAAAATCTATTTTACAAAACCGTTCAACCGCGTCACAAACATTATGCAAGAATGACATTCCCATAGTTTACCTAGAATGTACGCTCTAATGGAGTTAGTCAACCTACGGTTTTCATCGTTCGCATTAATGATTGCTCAATAACCATGTCTGACCATGTGCCACACTAAAAATTTGCCAGAACGTCTAATTGTGAAGCGCCCTCCATCTATAAAAGAACCTGTAATCTGTAGGATTCATCTTTTCTTTTGAACTATACATATTCTGTAAATATAAATGACCATATTTAGCGTACAAAAAATGACCACTGGCATGAAAATAGGGCAACATTTGCTGGATACTATTAAGATGAAGGTCCCAGTTTCCGCTTCTTTCGGCCTCAATAAATTATTTCATAACTGTAAAGTAAGAAACCCATAATTTAACAGTTGGACCACGTTACTAGATGATTTTCAAATTCTTTGACGCATTCTTGTTGGTCTGTATTACCGCATAGAATTCCCAATAAACACAGTTAATCGGCACCGTAACTGGGCCGAAGGAGGCTTGCCGAATGCCGTACTCGGCCCGATATACGGGTGCAGCTTCGGCATATAGGTAGGGCATGTCCGCCCAGTCCAATGTCGGCAGTCCATTACATTGTAGCCGCGTTCATATATCTATATATAGTTCGGCTCGTAAGGATGCCTCCCATGCCCGGCTAGCCAAATATTCACCGCGTTCGGCTCGTAAGGATGCCTCCCATGTCTGCAAAGCCAAATATGGACCACATGCGGTTTCTTCTTCTAAATTACGTCAAATGGTACGGTACTCCCTTCTCAGAAGAAACCCCGAGTACTTGGCTTCCCGTACATGCTGGTGTCAGGCCGAGCGAATGCCAACTATTTGTGGTTTACTGGGTTGCTTCTAGTCCTGCGTATTGGTCTGATGATAAATCAATTTCCTGCATGATCAATTTTGCGAGATGGACTATGTTATGTTGATAATGGGGTGTTAATACACTGCGACCTAAAAGATCTATTGTGCCCCCTTCTGTCGCCACTGCACTAAGGAAATGTCTCAATGCCTATAGCGACCCTTCCAATCCTATTTTCTCAAGGAAGTGTAGGATTTGAAGTGGTTTCAAGTTAGGTAAGTCTCCCTCTTCTATTTGATATCCTCCTAGATATAGTGCCCTTGGATTCTGGAGTGCTACACATTCAGTTAGGATGTGAATGGAGGTTTCGTCCTCCTCCTCACAGAATCTGCACTCACTATCCTC